CGAATTCAAGTTTGCTTAGAGAGAGAGTATGTGTAAAAAGTAAAAAGGCCCTTTTTACAAACGAGTTTCATATCGAAGGGTTCTCAAACTAATTTGAGTCAAAAATAAAACCGAACCATCCTAGTATCTACATAACAATATACAAAAATGTCTACTTAATAAATTTACAATTCGTAAGTTTTTTTTATTCTAGCCCTGAATTAACTATAGGAATTTTAGCTCTTAATCTTCCAAGGAAGACCATTATACAAATGACCGAAAAAATAAAAAATAATTTCTTCCAGACTCAAGCCTTACTTTAGGAATATGAAGCCTGCGATTGGAGCAAGTACTACGCAGATAGACCTCCTTTCGGCACTTAAAACCCCTTCCAGGGCTATGGACGAATTATCCGTCAATCTTCGTTTACTTTTCAGGCTAACAACGTATATATACGTCCCGAGAAATTTCTTTTCTGGGCTCAAGACGGAAATATCCGTCCACAAAACAAATCGATATACATAGTATGTAATACAAAAATAAACATTTCACTGCATTTTTGGGTGGCAATAATAATTGCCACAGCTTTTTCAGCTATTATTTTGCACCGTAGAGTGCATTATAGAGTGCACAAAAGAGTTCGTTAATATTGTGAAACTGAAACTGTCACTTCACACATGGTTGTTAGTGGGTGATGTTTACATTTGTGTTTTGGGCTTTATTTTTATGTTATGGAGCTAAATTGAGCATACTAAACGATCTGAAATTTAAAGGAGATGTTTTAAAGAAGGAGATAAAAGTATTACTGAGGGGCACAGTACTACTTTGGCAAACACATTCCCTCATGTATGATTAGAGATAAGTGTAGAATGAGTGGCGTGATATTGTATTCTTGTTACTGACTAGTACCACTAGTACTAGGAACACAACAAAGAAGCACATGGGCTTTCATAAAGATTGATAGTGGTTTGACGTCAGGTGTAATATGCATGATAAGTAAAACAAATATTTAACTGTTATACAAATCTGGAATCCGATCATATCTTAAGTGGAAGAAACTAATCATGTGGCAGGATTATTAACAAGCTAGACAGACCCAAACAGATGCAAACAACAAAGAACTATGGTATTCAAATAATAAAATAATTAAAAAAGAAGAAGGAGACCCTAATTTTCATGCCTCAGGAAATCTGTGGATTAAGCAAACTTCAATTTCCCTCGTTGGATTTTTTTTTATGACAGATGTAATTCCAATTTGAACGACATAAGTTTGTAAAATACTTATATTTTGCTGCTACAGAAAAAAACAATCAAGTATTTCTAGTGAAATGTTAGTAGAGTAAATCACCAGTTATTGGCACTTTTAGCAGCCCAACTTTACTTATTATTTTGTACAAGACATGCTTTTCTTTTTTCTAGCTTTAAATGTGTTTTCGGCTAGTAATAGACCTGTTAATTGAAACGAAAGGACAAATTTACTTAATCGTTTATATATTTTTTTTAGAAATATATGAAACTAAAATAAAAAACAATTTTTTTTCACCTTAGTTGAAGTTATTGAAACTTTCAGGATCAGTTATTGGTACAGTTTTTTAAGAAGTGTTATAAAGCGAGGCAATTAATAGTGTGATAAATTATGTTCTTGATGAAGTATTTTTTATAAAATATATAACAACGTAATGTGTGCTATGTGCGCTCCTCAATATAACATTCAGTAAGTATAAAAAGTCAAAAATGCCTACATGGCCACGTATAAGACCTAGTACTGATAAATTTGTTAGAGTTACATTACTTTAAACTACTTTATATTTTTTCCTTAAATGGTGACCATACGGATGTCAGTTTTTAAGCCAAGTATTAATGAAGACTAGAGGTCATCCAGTGGTCGAAAACTCTACCAAAAATATATGCAGTTGGATTTTTTCAGCTAGAAGCGGTTGAAGTATGGTGGAATATATTTGAAGATGAACCTTTTTGGCTGTAGTGAGTACGATCAAGTGTTCAATGTTCACAAGTCAATTTTTGAGGTTAAATCAAAACAAACTGGCATGTTGTCAATTAGGGACAATGTTGTATTACTTACAAAAGAATGTTTATTTAAGATTAAATAAATTAATTTAGTATATGCCGTTGTCTCATATATTGGAAAACATTTAGTATTTAGGCTTTTGAATTTTATAAACCAAACTCGAATCTTGCTTCCTTGGCCTATTGTACAACGTTTTCCTGTTTGGTACCTGGTAAGATTATCTGATTGCATAAGTGAATTATTAGCAGTACAATTTAGCTGTTAATTACAATTGAAATGGGTCAAAACATTAGTTAGTCTATAAATGTTAGTCTATAAAGGCTTATCTCGTCATTTTGAGAGTTGACCCCTGAATTCTGATCCCTAACTTGAAACCCTTAATAGGTGGGTCTGGGTCTTAAGATATTTCCAAACGAAACGTAAATCATCATTATGTCCCCACAGTTTATCATTTGTAACCCAGTCACAGCAACAGCATTATTCTATAGATATAATAATGGACATTAATTTTGCAAGAAGATTCAATATTTTTATATTTGCTCATGTTAAATTAATTATGTATGTATATATGTAACTTATTGACTCCAAAACCACTCGAAACATTGTAATGAAACTTTCAGGCATTATTAAGCATTATTCAAGGATGGTTTATGTGGAGTTTGAAACAGATCCTTCAAAATGTCTCCATAACAGAGGGTTTGAAGGGGTCCAATGTCATACTTTTGGAACTACAATGTTAACAAATATATACAATTTAAAAGCAGATGTTTACTTTCACTAACTGTTGGTTTGAGTAATAAAAACATTCTGTATTAGTCATGATTTGGAATAGTGCTACAATATTTCCACAGAATGCACTACAAAAAACTGTTTTACTTTTAGATAAGTCCCAATATACTAAACCCCTAATTGCAGCACACCTGTGCACTCAACAACGTTTAAATTCTCCCCTACTGTATTAAATATGTAAACATAAAAGTAAAAACCTTTATCAATGTAAAACTTATACAGGGTGTTTTTTTTAAAAACTTGCATCTCTATTTATATAAAAACCGCAATAGATAGAAATATGCAGTTTTCGGGAATCATCTATTGACGTAGGGGGCCCAATTGTTTTGAATTCAACGTTACATTCACATTCCCCCCCTTTCCCCCCTGCCCTCAACTTATTTTTTTTTAAATAGCAAGGTATCCCTTGTGACATATCAAATGAAAGAGCATGAAAAAAGAAAATGTTTGATAAAAAAAATTGAAAATCGGTTCATAAACTTGCGAGATATTTCCCCCCCCCCTTCCCCGGAACTTAATTTTTTTTAATAGCAAGGTACCCCTTGTGACATATCAAATGAAAGAGCATGGAAAAAGAAAATGTTTGGTGAAATTCATTTTTCATTTGATATGTCACAAGGGCGGGTACCTTGCTATTAAAAAACAAGTAATTTTTTTCACCAAAATTTTTTTTTTCATGCTCTTTCATTTGATATGTCACGAGGGGTACCTTGCTATTAAAAAAAATTAAGTTCCGGGGAAGGGGGGGGGGAAATATATCGCAAATTTATGAACCGATTTTCAATTTTTTGTCATCACACATTTTCTTTTTTCATGATCTTTCATTTGATATGTCACAAGGGGTACCTTGCTATTTAAAAAAATTAAGTTGGGGGCAGGGGGGAAAAGCGGGGGAATGTGAATGTAACGTTGAATTCAAAAAAATTGTGCCCCCTACGTCAATAGATGATTCCCGCCAACTGCATATTTCTATCTATTGCGGTTTTTACATAAATAAAGATACAAGTAAAAAAAAAACACCCTGTATATTCATACATCTAATATATTTATTAGATGTATAAATATATTATAAGTAATGGTATTTTTTTCTTTACAATCTATATCTTTACATATTTGTAAAGATATAGATTGTAAAGAAAAAAATACCATTTTAAATAATGGTTGTAAGCGCAGCAACGCGCACCGGGTAACTGCTAGTTTCTTTATAAACTAGACTAGCTAGCTAAATATCGTCCATGTCGTATATGTCGAATATTATCGTGCATTCAACCCTCTTTGGCATAGCTAAACATTCTGCAACACCGATGTTATTCGTGAATAACAGTCTCAATACTAAACTATACTTTAATAAAATTGTAAAGATAGCATGATCTTTCATATAGCATAAGTTATTGAGCTATGCTATATAGGCTTGACATAAGGAATATTTTGTTAGGCAATTACGGTTTCACAAACAAACTATGCCGATTAAAACTGTGTTCAATTGACATGCCGAAAACACTAGTTTTTGCCAGTGCCAGTTCCCACGTAAAAAAATAGAATTGGCATGTCTACAACTCAGGCTTTTTGCACCTTTAGAATGCCTACAACTCAAGCTATTGACACTCGGGCTATTGGCACATCTAGAATGCCTACACCTGCCTACAACTTGAGCTATTGTCACCTCTGAAATGCATACAAATCCAGTTATTGGCACTGCCAAATAGGTGCCAATAGTTGGAGTTGTACATAAAAGTAGTCAGTCATTGGCACCCCCGTAAATACAATATTTTGAGATTGTAAACAAAAACCTCATAGGTTATGTTTATAACGATCCTTTAAAAACCAAATTTTAACGTATTATTTCCTAAAACTATTCAAAATATGGTTTAATTTCTTACTGTTTTCTTTATAAACTAGGGTGGCATTGGTGTCATTGGGCATGGTTGATTAATTTATTTTTCTAGCCGAACCCATAGTTACTATGAAACAGCTGACCATGTGCAACTCCAAGTCCTTCAAGTGAGAAAATGAGGCACTGCCTTTAAAATATTTTTCAAAGCTTAACTGTACTTAAAAACATTATCAAAACCACTTTGCCAATAGCTAGTGGATGCTAATATATCTGCCTTTACCCCAATCTCGATGCGTAGTGATTGGTAATGAATAACTCAACAAAGATAAAATCCATGTACTTTATTTGATACATCTTCATTTGTACCAACTACATCTCAAATTTCCTCAGATTCCCAACTCCATACACAGTTCCAGATTGAATGTGGATCGCCACAACGCCATCCTCATCAGGACGTCCAGGGTCGAGCTTTGGTACAACTACGTTTGCTATTCCGTCTTTATCAACTGTTATTATTTTTCCAGAACAACCTGCAGTTGTAACTTCTCCAGATATTATATCACAATATTCTCCCTCTGGCAAACAAGTCTAAAACATTATCAAGATAGGTTGTTAAGATAAACATACACTCTGTAAGAATATTTGATAGAAATGCTATGTAAGCTGTTGGTATTGTTTAGAAAGTGTATTATGTATGTTGTGATGTTATAATGAACTAGTTTTTACCCGTACAATGTTGTGTTTTATAACTACTATGAGCCGCAGCATGCTAAAATATACTTTTACAATTATTTAATTTATAACAGTCCTTTTACCAGGAGCTTCAAATTAATCCCTCTGAAACAACCTATAAAACGCTATTCATAAAAAAAACCTATTCCCACTGAATCGCCTTCTACTTAATGTTGCTTGGACCCTTATTTATGTGACACGGTTTTCTTTTATGCATTCATTTTTTAATACTTCTTTACCCACTTATAAATTTAAAATGTTTCGCACTGTAATATTTGTAGGTATACAGTATTTACAATGTTTTCACTAAGCTAAATGTGCACACATAAAAGTGGCTTTGATGTATCTTTATTAAAATACATATATTTAATCTCCAAACTTTGCATCTACGATAAAAAGCTTCAATTCACGATAAAAAGGTCTACGGTTCACTTCAACCACTATTACTTTAGGTAAATCAATGACCACCCAACCCATTCCAACCTTGAACCTATGAATGGCTCAAAATTATCAATTTTTAAAGTAGTTTTCACGTTATTGACATAGGTACTTTAATCTTTCACTACAGCAATCTACAACAAACACAAAAATACAAGCTAAGTAACTTAAAGTTAACTTTTAAGTAGCTTTGGGTATTAACAAGCTACTCTTTTCCCAGGCATTATTTTTGGGGGAAACAAACGTTGAAACACAATAAATATTTATAAACATTATGAAACAAAAAATTGTTACGGTTTGTAAGTCATATTATTCCTTATGTTTTTGTAGTGTATAATTTAGAGTTGTACGGTTGAATTTTGTTTCTAAAAGTGTTGGTGGGTGTCTATATTTTTTATGCAGCATATTATGTAAATATCAAATGCTTCTAATTCACGTTCTCTTCACATTGCAAATCAAGGGGACAACAGCTAGTATATAATATCATTGAGTTTGTGAATTAATCCGGTTCTTTATTGTAAAATTGTAAAACTATTATTTTTTATAGAAACGCCAAAAGTGAAATCAGCTAATTTAACGTGTGGGAATAGTCATTCAAAAATGTATATTAATGAATAAAGCTGGAAATGAGCTTTTTCGTTACTGTTTATAGCTGTGGAAAGGTGATTATTTTCATGTAGTGTTTGTAGATTAATCTTTTCCAGTCATTGGAGATAAGTCATCGGATCGGAATAATATTTTCCGATGTTAATACCTGGAGACGTGAGTTTAATTCGACGGAGTCCAAGTTGAAAGCCACAAATCCTTTGTTCCCTCTACAAAAAGCAATTTGATTTTTCCCATTGCTCCACCAATTTGTCACTGGCGTACCTAGAAAAGTGTTAATCTCGTTAATGAAAATGTAAACCTGATAGAAAACGATTTTGTACAGATTTTATGCTCAGAGAATACCAATGCAGGAACAGCATATCAGAGGTGATGCAACCTGCCTTTCTACTGCCCTCTTAAATATTTAAAGATCACGTTTTTAAATTGCCATCTGAATTCTAAAACAGTTCTAAAACATCTATGTTTCATAAGAAATTTTACAGTAAGACACCAATACGATGATTTTTGAACAAATGTTTTCAATATTATTTACTGTCCCAAGATTAAACTAATGAAATTCTCTTTTTAATGTTCTCTCTAAGCCAAATTCATTTGTAAGATACTAATTGTGGCACATATTAGTTGTTTACCTTGTACAAACTAAAGGTATACTGATCCAGTCACCAAACATACAAGTATTTACTCTAAGGTGTATTTAGTCGTGGGGCATGTGTAATTGTTTCTAAATGTAATACATGATTAAAATAAACAACAGAAAGAACAGCTCTATACTTGTACACCCAAATCGAATTCTCTTTAGAAATAAAAATGAAAAATATTTCAAAAATTATTTTTTTATATTTGATTGCTTGGCAGTATATGATTGGTGGCTTCAGTATATTACTGGTGGAGTTGATTCCTCCTCAATTCGCCCACGGAAAAATAAATTAAAACATAGACCCACATTTTATGTTCAAAACCTAATGTAGTCTTTTTGACACAATTATTCTATGCATTAAAATGGTTTTATTAAGTCACCAATTGGCTTTAAAAATACTACATTCTCCATGGGAGGACCCCAGTCCTTATTCCTTTCTTGAGAAGCCCTGACCCCCCCCCCCCCCCCCACCTCACACCGGTAACACACCCATTGACAAGGTCCTAGAACCGAATCTAGGTGTGAAGATTTGCAAACGGTCCTTACATTTTTGAAAAATGTCCTTAGGCTCTGTCAGAGTGGCTTTTAAGGTCCCATGTAATGCTTATGAAGAACATAATTGTGTACATTATGAACAGCTGGATAATTTAACTGCTGTTAATATTTTATTTGCGATTTTAGGAAACGTGTGCTACAAACATTTACTGGATATGTTGAAATGTAATATATTTACTATTTATATTTCGGTTACCATAAATATTTTTAGTGCGAAAAATTAAAAAAGCCTGGACAATTTGATATACTGCAAAGAAAACTTATGTATAAATGTATCCCTTGAGCAATAATTCAAAGCGCCGATTTTTAAACTATGAAAAAATGGGAAAGTCATAAAACACCACCAAGTAAAAGAAATTTAAATTAAGGTGTTTTTTTTAATTGTTATTACGGACAACTTAATGCAGCCAAGAGTGGGAAACATGTGTAGTAAACAATTTTAAAAAACCAGCTTTTGAAAAGCTATAAGATATTTACAAGAAATATTAATTATATCGAACTGTTGTTTAAATCGTGAGTATTTCTATAATCGTTGATTAGATTCTTTTAAAGTTATCTGATATTATGACTGTCATTTGTTTTAAAATAACGCAAGTAATTACTTCGTTATTGTTCAAATTCAGGTACACTAGTAAACATTAATTTACAACGCAATAAATAAATACCTTTTAAAATGTTCAAAGTTGACCTGTCGCTATGGTAAACCAAAAGTAATAAAACACATAATAATACTGAAAATAATGCTTTGTATAGTAAAGTACGTATACACAACATTAAATAAAAAAAAAACAATTTCCTGCGTGATAAATTTTGCATCAGTTCCTTCTTATATTGTTCCACTCTACCTTTGACAACGTTGTGGAATTCCACCGCGTTGTAAATCTGACGCCATCGATGTTGACACACCCAACCGTTGGAACAGGTATTTTTATCGACAGGACGAGTTGGCTGTTGAGGAGGGCCTTGTAATTTACCTGAGAACTTGAAACTTGAAAATATCTTGCAAGTGTAATCTCCATGAGCCAACATGAAAATCACTGCCATCTGTGGATAAGAAAAAAATATTTAATGTTGCTACGAAGCTTAGCCCTAACCTAAATCCAAAGTTTACACCAAAGTTGACAACACAAAGTTTAAAACTAAATGTTGATCCAAACAAATTTGAGAAACTAGAGGAAGAGTTATTCTGAAAAACCAAGTTGCTCCTCACTAATTAGTGGAAAACTTGTTGCCAAATGATTGACTACCGCCCGACGTCACACCGGGGGGCTTGGAGGTGCCAGAGAGAACAATTCTCCACACTAGTTTCCACAAGTTGCTCGCGCATAGCGCGTAGCAACTAATCTTCCACTTTTTGTTGTAAACGTTCTCTGATCTTTACTGACTCCCCACGGGAAACCAAAATTAAGTGGAAAACTCTCCACTAGTGGACGAAAGAAAAAATCGCTGTGTTTTGTAGAAAAAGCAACTAGTTTCCGCAACTAGTGGAAACTTATTGGAAGACTTTGGTGCATCGTGGCTTAAAGATTCTTCTTCTAGTTTAAGCGACTAAACATTTTGTAAAAAGGAGTTTCGTTTCCTTTAATATAATTAATAAATTGAAAATATTATATACACCACAGAATATGTGTACGCTTTGGTATATAAAATCTAGCTGGTGATGTGCATACTCATGATTGCTATTGTGTGAGCATTGCTCTTTGGAAACAATTATATGTTTTTGGGCTTTTGCTGATTTTAAGCTCTGGAAAGAATCAAATTATTTATCGAAAATAACAACAACCAAAGCAAACAAAGAGTCTGTTTTTACGCAAATCAAATCGTGTTTAGGGACATCTATACCAACACATAGATAATTATATACTTAGTTTGTAAAAGTATATAAATATTTTTCTACATTTTAGCTTTTAAAGATACGTCTGTACTACAGGCCAAGGTAACTTTTGCTTCAAATTTGTGGAATTCTAGAAAGTTGAGAGGGCTCAGATTTAAAGTCTTTGTTCCATAACGGTGGGCAGAATAAATAATAAATATTTATAGCAGAATCAATAACAAAACAGTTAACTATTACCTTGTATTGTTTTGCTTTGTTGTAGTTTAGAAAGTTTAGTTCTGGCAAACGTTCCGTGTTACTATTTTCAACAAGTACAACACTTTGATGTTTTGGCAGGATACTTCCCTCTGAGCCTGGTAAAAAAAACAATATTAAAAACTGTTTTGAATAGCTTAGTGTGCTTATATTTAAACTAAAAATGTAATTATAAACATTGAGATAAGATCCTGCAATTTATCAGAAAACGTGTAAAAATACCTCCCCCACCGCAAACTTGCAAACTTAGCTGAAAAAATATCTCCGTAAAAACTTAACATTTTATTCCCTATTTAAATAAAGTTAGTTTCTAGAGTAAATAGGTTTGCTGCTACAGGGAAGGTAAAACAGTGGTATTTTTTTGTAAAACGTCAGTAGTTCCAAATGAAACAATTATAATCTCTAAATTAGAATAATATTAACTCGCTAATGAAGTAAACCACAAACCGTAATTTTCTTTTCAAAATAACATGAAAATTATGAAAACTGATTTTTAGAATTTTCTCCTTAACTATAAAGCGAATAACAACGATTAAATATACAAAATATATGGTTTTCTACAAAATAAGTTAGAAGATTCTGTTTTTTTCTCTTATTTTTTTCAGAAATAATATAAAGTAAAATAAAACCCCAAATTTCACCCCATATACCTTCTCGCCATAGTACAGTCATGCTGGAACTTTTCAGATAAAACTAAGGTTCATACTTTTTTACCGAATTTGATTAAATTCTAATATTTTGTATTGAGTTGTCGCGAGTTATGGCTTAGTACCTTTATGGAAAATTCGCTAAAAGTTAAAGTTACCTTAAATATGAGAACGATATCTCTCTCGAGATTGGTGGAGTCTAAAAATACTCGGCATGGTCCAAGAATTAATAGAGATAACAAATTTTTAGGCCTACACCTATTGGCAATTTTTGATATTTCAACATGCCATTATAACTATAAAAGATAAGTAATTAAACATACTACAGTACTATGAAGACTAAACCAAACAAACCAAAGTTCTGAAGATCTTTTAGATCCTTTATGCCTAGGAAAAACGTCCCCAACTGACGGCCAAACTTAAAGTCTAGGACTAACCCTAGGGGGGTGTACTCCTCATACTTTATTGGCCCGGCATCATCTGTAAACACATCATTGATAAACATCGTCAAAATATCAGTTTGGTTTTCACATCTGCTCTTGTTCAAGGTGACGTTAATGCATTACCCTGGTAAAATATAATCTTTGACCACTATTACTTTAACACTTACAAATTTACAAATCTTAAAAACAACAACAGTTTTCTTTTTCACGATAATTTCGATATTGAGTTGTGGGTAGATATATCCGTAGAATCGAAAATGTGGGATGTTCTGGTTTATGAGCTTTGATTATTAATGGATAATTACGCTGCATCATACCTGCAGACTAAGCAAGTTTCAGTTTAATAAGATAATCACTCAAATTAGATTTTCTTCCTAATTAGTTTTTTACTAATATATTTAAAAATATCATTTTGTTTTCCAATTTAAGTTACCTAAGTGTTTACGAGAACTTGATTGGTTTTATGCTACAAGGTAATAAAGCGTGTTTTCTTTAGTGGAAATAGCTTAGTATAGATTTTGATCGACGAAATCTATACAAAACAAGCAAATTACGACGGTTTACTTACTCCCCGTGAGAATAGCATGGGCATTTATAAATTATTTTTTATTTTTTTTTTTTTTTTTACTATTAGGCGTACAACAACAGCTAATACATTTTTTGGTTTACGCTCTACAGAATAGGGTACTTTATCAATAAGTTGCGAAATTAATTTTTTTTTTTTGGTAAAAAATCAGGACAAACCAACATTTAACCCATAAGCCACCATTCCCATAGGATGATCATGCTCGAATTGGTGTATATTGGTCCCGGGTATAAGTTTTACCACAATACCTACGGTAATAGCTTATTCCCTGGGTGAAATTCACTAAATATTGACTTTGTAGTTTAAATATCAGAGATTGAAAATTATTTAGCTATAATTAAATTCCAAACAACATTGTATTACAAACCTAAAAGAAAAACATCCTGGTATATCAGAGGTCTAGTTTCTGCAGGGAATCCGTGTTCAGTGTTCAAATGATTCAGTCGCTGATAGATCACAGACAAATCTTCAGGATACATCAGAAGGGCGAAATGTATCCTAGAACATTTATAAACTTTGTAAATAAATCACTTAAGAACAGTTTAGATTATGCACAGGGTAAAAACAACAGGTTAAACTACAGACTTAGTATATGCTCTGCATAATATACTCTCATAATAAAATATACATTATATGGCATACTGGCAGAAATGTGCAACATAGAAATATAATGAAATCATGAACGTATACAGATGTTATGTAGTACACTGACAGTGCTGTGTGTGGCGTGGAGACATATTGGAATCATGAACGTATACATATGTTATACAGTATAGTACACTGACAGTGCTGTGTGTGGCGTGGAGACATATTGGAATTATGAACGAATACATATGTTATATAGTACAATGACAGTTCTGTGTGTGGCGTGGAAATGTATTGGAATTATGAACACATACGTTACACTGTCAGTGCTGTGTGTTGCGTGGAGACATATTGTAATCATGAACGCTTACACACGTTATAATTATGGTACACTTACAGTGCTGTGTGTAACGTGGAGACATATTAGAATCATGAACGTATACACACGTTATATGGTACTCGGAAAGTGCTGTGTGTAACGTGGGATCACACTTAAATAATTAAAATATACAGACCTAATACGGCACATTGACAGTGATAAGTGTAATATGGGGACATATTAAAACCATGAAAGTATACAGACGTGAGGATACATTGAGTACTGTTTTTTTTTTTAACAAAACTATTTTATCTTTTATTACATGGCATATGAGTAATACCTATGATTACACCTACATATAACTAATAGGTAAAACATGTGTAAGCTAAAAGTAAACCAGTTATATACCTAAATCCAGCTACCCCGATCTCTAGCAAGTGGTTTAAATGATGCACTATCTTCTCCCTTACTGATTCACGAGAATGGATCAAGTCATTCAGACCATCTCCTTGACACTCTCGTATCTACAAAAGCAAGAATAGAAGTCAGCAATGGTAAATATGAATATTTTGTGTAAAAATATCGATTATCAGATTCAGCATTTACAAGTATTTTCATGTGATTCTCACAAATAAATTGATTGATTGATGAAATGTTAATAGAAATAAACGTTGTCAGAAATCAGACACGTACTTTCTCCCATTCGGTTGTGAACAACCTTTGTCATAGGTAGCAATGGAAGTAACTATGATATTTTATAAGGACCCTTACAAAAGCCGCAATAGCTTTTGCAAAGTAGTTTTTACAGCAATGGGTGGTACCTCTATTTTATTTATAATTATAAGGACCAGAACAGACCAATTTAAACCGGAACCATATTTGAACAAAACAGATTTTCCGGTATTTTGGGTGGTTATATGGAAAACTCAAAGATTTTGACGTAAACAATACTTCCTCCTTATCATAAAGGGAGAAAGTATATATAGTCTTTCATATTACGATAATTCGTGTATCGCAACTAAATATTGTGTTATTTGTAAGAAATCCAACCGGTCATGAATTAAAAAATAAACTACACAATGTTGTGCAGATATAAAATATTTTGGATACAGACGATTGTCTGCGTTAAAACTGAATCCAGTCAGTCAAGATAAGGGTTGAGATACAGAAAAGGCATGGTTTATTATATTTATCGAATTGATTTAACAATAAGGAAAACAGTATGACACGTTGATGCTGAACCAATCCTACAAGGATTTATCATGCAAGATTTACAAAGTCTCTTTAAACTACACAACATCGGTTAAAATAAAATAATTTAAAAAAATATTTTAAAACGTTGCAACTAAAGAAGGAACTTAATTCTTTGAAATATTTCTATTTATTCAATTAACGTTTTCTTTTTCCTGAAAGCACAACAAATACGTCATATAACATACATAATAATACATTTACACTAATACTTTTCACTCACAATACGGTAAATACATATACAATTTGCCTCTTGGTTCTTATAATGATTGGAATGTCCAATCGATATCGATCACCACTTACCATCTTCTATATTTATTTACCGTCTTGTGAGTAAGCAGTATACATGTATACATATTATCATAAGTGTTATTTGAGGTATTTTTTGTGCTTTCAAGTAATTTAATAACATGTACGATGCTGATCAAGAAGTTATTTAGTTTTATTTTTTCCAATGGCATTGTATAATTACTATGTATTGTATATTTTTATTCCTATTATAACTAACTAGCTGTACCCGCGGGCTTTGCCCCGCTTAACTTCATAAGTATTCGCATGGCTCAATCACGTCCTGGTTGAAGTTCGATCGCTACGCTCACTCACCTTCAGGTTGGAAATCGTTCGCTGCGCTCACTTGTTTTCAGGTTAGCTCGTTCGCTACGCTTACTCGCCTCCAGGTTGATGTTCGTTCGCTACGCTCACTCACCTTTTGGTTGCAAATTAGCTGTTGTCATAAATTAAAAAAGTCATCCCTTTTATTGTTTATCATACAGTACTTTGATAACGGTTTATATGTTTTAATATTTAACATTGGAGAATTTAAACGTTGTTAAGTGCACAGGTGTGCTGCGATTGGGGTTTAATACATTTGGACTTATTCAAAAGTAAAATAGTTTTCTGTGCTGCAATCTGTAGAAACACTGTGGTACTATTTCAAATCACGACTAATGCTAATACAGAATGTTGTGATTATTCAAACCTACAAACAGTTGGTGAAAGTAAACATCAGCTTTTAAATTATATTTATTTGTAAACATTGTAGATCAAAAAGTCTGACATTGGCCCACTTAAAACCCTCTGGGGCAGAGCCCTTTTAACGGATCTGCACCAAACTTCACTCGAACCATCCTTGAAAGATGATTAATAATGCCTAAAAGTTTCATTACAATCTTTCGAGCGGTTTCGGAGTCCATAACGTATATACACACACACACACACACACACACACACACACATGCATACATAGTTCCTCTTTTATAGATATAGATTATTGATGTTCTTATTTTATTTTTTTGTAAAAAAAATTTATTAGGCACATATTTATATCATGCGTAAATAATCTAATACGAGTGTGCGTATGGCATCACTGCTAAATTAATCAGCTGGTGCAGTGCTTATTTGTCATTCCATTTGACCATTGATTTAATGACATGACCTATAAACGTTTTTGCTTGTTAACATGAACATTACAAACATACAATTAATTTTGATCAGTATATTTGTTTGTGATATTTCACTGTGACTTTTAATTGCTTATTTGTACAACAATTTCATTTGAGTTTGGATTTGTTCGTGTGATCATTTAATTTAGGTTTGTTTGTTTTTTTTTATTTACGAAACTGTATAGTAAAAGTTAACCTGTGTATACATGCGTACACATGTGTAAAACAATTACACATTATTTGTGCTTCATGGTAACTGTAGGAAAAATAAAATGTTCCACAGCACTAACTACATAAATAACTGTTAGTCCATCTTGTGACGTTCCTCTCGCACTATTCGAATTTTGCCTTGCAGTTAAATTGTTGTAATGAAGTCAAGGAAAGCATGACAGCGTTTATACTACCATATACAAATATTCATTCTATTTGTATAAAATACTACACGGTTACCACGGCAGAATGCTGCCTTAAACAGCAGTACACTGCCACTGAACTGAAGGGTTATTTTGTCGTGGCCGTTCGTTAGTATTGCATATATTTAAATGCAAGCTTTCACCCTGTACCGATTTTGTCGAAAGGGAGACTACCCACCAGCCAGTACAAATAAATTAGCTGTTGCGCTGTTTAATTTTTCCAATCTGGCTTGTCAATTGGACACTGTTTATGTTCATTGTGTCATTGTGAACACATTCATCTCAGAAACAATGTCGTGAAATGTGTAAATCCGAACTAACGTGACATGAGCATTAGTGTGGTGATTTATTGACATAGTGTCACAACAATATTTCCTGCCCACAATCCCTAAACATACCTGTTTTGCATCAGTTGGGTCGATTTTTTCACACGGTGGATAGAAGTCTTCCTTCGTGTACGGTACATCTGGATAATATTTGTCTTCAGGGTAAAAAGGTGAACCTCCCACACCTACACGACTTCCCTTAACATCTGTCTCGGTCATATGGTTGAATACAACATTGACAAACACTCTGTATATGCAATTGGATTATTGTTTTCTATTTTTTACAAAGAAAACTAATTTTATTAAGCTAAGCTTATCAATATGGTCTCTTAGAATCGTATTGATATACAAAACATATCCAATCTTAACGAGTTAATGCATGTTTGAAATAGTTACAATGGGAAAATAAAATCATTTTTTTAACATAAAACTTCTAGCATTAAACCTATAAGCCTAGGTTCATAGTTATTGGCTTTACTGTATTACTGTCACATATGTAGTTGTGATTTTAAAATGTCTTTACTACCACTTTCAGCTCCTTATATGACGTTCCGTTGAAGTTACCAACCTCAAGAATCGTCTCTTCTCCAATAAATAAGGCATAAGGCAAAGAACCCATCAATTTACCCCTAAATGCAAGGGTCAGGGGTGACAGTGTTTCCGAGGGCTAAATTTCACGTAGAATCAAAGTTAGGGTATCATGTTAAAGAGGATTAAATCATCTAAAGGTTGGTGGCTGCATATATGTTTACGATCGTACCATAAAGCCTGAAAATTTTCTTTTTAATGTAGACGAAAAATTACAAATTTAAACTGCAGGAACTTATTATAGAAAAGCTAATTTAAAGAATGTGTTGGGGGGATTTTTTTTTACGAAAAAATTTAGTTTGAATCTGACATAATTTATGAAGCAGCCGCAATGATAGAAGGATTATCAGAAGACAAAGACGCCGATAACAATGTGTTGGGTAGGGGGAGCAAATATTATGGTTAAATATTCTTTTTTCCAGCATTAAACACAAATGTTAAATTACAAATCTTTCAGGTATCCTCTTAACTCATTATTTATTTCTCATCTCTCTGTCTCTGCTCTGTATTATACGTTCATTGAATGTACCGTTTCCTCTTTGTTTTTACTTGTCCCCATGGTTTTTCACTTCAAATATTTATCATTGTTTTTAATATTATTTATTGTTCTCACAACAATATTTATGTATCTGTTTATTGTTATTTCATTGTTATTTATATTTTTCATTGTTATTTATAATGTTTATTGTTCTCACAAAAATATTTATTATGTTAATTGTTATTTCACTGTTATTTATATTATTTATTGTTTTCTAGGTTAGTCAATGTGCCATTTATTGTATACATATCTTCTTTATTCATTCAACTATGTATTTGCTTATCGTTACTCAGTTCTTTCTGTGTCCAAGTTTTTCACTTGTATACTTTACTCTTATTATTTTAACACTTATTATTATTATTTTATTATTTTGTAACTTTTGACATTCCTTTCATTGTTATTATTATGGGTTATCTTGTCATAATGAGCAATTTACAACTCAGTCAAACTGTAAAATTGGTGTAAATCCGTTGGCAAATAAATAAATAAATGTCTATGGGAGTGAAAGGACACGGCGACGGTCAGTCTAGACCTACACCTTGAACCCGTAGCCGCGCCGTGAGAATTAGTGTTCTTGTATGGCCATACTGTATTATTTATTTGTAAATATGTTTGTGTGTATCTCGTGTATTTATTTTCAAGACTTTTTGGTGACCTCCTAGGATTGTCAACCCGTCTTTTAAGGCTTGACAATGACACCACGAGTGTCGAAACCGGTCGCTATCCAGACGACAGTGGATTACAGTGGCAACAATAAGGTATTTAACCTCTAGAATAATATTGTTAAGTAATCCGGAAGGCAACACCTCAAAAATTAAGACTACAGAGGTAGATCGCACCCTTTACTCAGCTGCTATCAAGTTCTAGAGGAGAAGGGTTAGCACACCACCCCGTGGGCATCCTCTATTCATTTTGTTTTAACATCCTCATTATGAATCTCCTTTACTTCCTAATTTAAAGCAAAGATTCGATCTGAATACAAGATAAAATCCCTATTCCTTTACTTTATTTGGGATTGCCAAAGTCCTTGTGCTGTTAAATGCACTGAGTATGTATTTAGTTATATTTAGTAACTAGTTTTACACAAATGTCTTTTGAAGCTCTATAACCTAATTCAAAGCAAGAGTAATTAGTTTAGTTGAATGTTATTTATTAAAATATATTTTAAAACTTTTTATTTTATTTAAAAGTTATTTTTTTACAAAAAAATACTGACCTAACACCAACATTGTTGCATCTTTTAACCATATCTCTCAGCTGGTTCTCGCTTCCCAAACGGCTGACCAGCTGATACGAGACTACTCGGTAACTATCCCAGAGCCTATCTGAATCAACATGTTCTGCAGGAGGAGAGATCTGTAACAATTAATTGTGGGAAACTAAATGGAGGCATTGATAGAGTTTTTGGCTATTTTTATAATGGTCTAAAATATGCATTAAAAGTGTGCTTAATTCAGGAGAAAATTTTTCGTTAGATATATGAACATAAGTTAAAATTAAAGACATACTTGGACACCATCAAATCCTTTTTTGGACAAAAACTGCTCACATTCATCAGCTACTTCTGACCACCGCCACATGAACAAATCTGCGATAACACCACTCTTTAATTCGAATTTCTTTCCATGGTCAAAACTGGTTGGTTTTTCATCTTCTACAGGAACAGATCCCCCTTTTATCTTCCCAACCTGTAAAATGTTGGGGGTAAAACAGTAAGAAAACGCTAGATAGAATAATGAATTTCTAAAATATTTATTAACCCATAACACGTCTACAACTTTGATAAAGCACACAAATAATTTTAAAATTCCTGGCATATACCAATTTAGAAATTCTAATATTAAGTGTACTAACTTTGGACACAAGAGCCCAAGGAAATTATTATTATTAAAATATAGTTCGATTGATAAGTTTCGGAAATGTGTAATATATTTTATACCGTTATAGACAAAGTAATGAGCCTTATTAGTATAATAATATCAATAATATGAGCATATCAATAATATCCCAAATTACTTCTTGATCAGCAACGTACGCGTTATTGAATTACCTAAAAGCACAAAAATACATCAAATAACACTTATATTAATATATTTAAACTTATACTGTTTACTAGCAAGACGGTAAATACATATAAAAGATGTAAAGTGGTGATTGATTTCGATTAGACACTCCAATCATCATCAGGCCCAATAGGCGAATGATTGGTCACAAATTTCGCCTATAACAGGATTAGTGTAAATACATTGTAATAGGTGTTATTTGACGTATTTCCTTTGCTTCTAGGCAATAGTAACCATAAATGTATAGGCCTACTCTTTTAAGCTATTACACATTTTATATCTCTCAGAGGAAACAACCCACAAGGAGTCAACCTTCTTCTCAAGAGCATAGGTTGAGTGTTAAATCATATCAAAGGTAAAGGACATAGCAAAGGACATAGCAGCAAATCCGAACTCGAACGGGCAACCGAGTCAACAATTTTAGTAGCTTAAATATTTTGAAATCTGCTATTTTGAATCTTTGAATGGCTGAAATTTTTTATTTAGTTGTTCTTTTGAGCTCAAAATCTGCGGAATTATATTCAAGAAATAAAAGAAAATCTTTCCCTCCCAGTAGCAGCAAACCTACCTAAGACCTTTAAATATTATACTATTTACATGGAGAATAAATACCCGAATGAATCATACCTGTCATACCTGTATAGAGAATAAATCTTGTTTTTATAAGGTATGGAAATATGTATTAAAAGTATTATCGGACGGATTGAAATTCGCTTAGTCTGCAGGTTTGCTGTGGCAGGGATATTTTATGCAAAAAATATCCTATTTCACGTCTTCCTACATTTGCAGCTTGTTTAATTAATACATGTTATAATGACCATCTTTTGGGAAAAAAATAATTTCAATTATGTTTTACAAATAGTTTATTGTTCCTTTAAATTGAATATAAAATGTTGTTTGGATACCTTCACCAGTCTTATAAATATTTAATTAAAATACTAAAACAAAATGGTGGATATCTCACCAACTAATCAAGTAGTAAAACATGTTCTTGATTTTTGTTTTATTTTTACCTATTAAACGTATAACCGGATTTGGTTGTTTTTATGGCACAACTTGTATTCGATACATGGTATTATTGTATCTAATAAAATTTATTTAAGTTTAAGATAGTGATTTATCTAGCTGTAAAAACTCACCAATAATAAGAATAAGCTCAGTTGTGATAAAGCTTGGCGTAGCATTTCGAACTGCACGATTGCCTTGCTCCAACAAAACTAATTCTACGGCCATCTGGCCATTAATAATTGCTACATCAAAAATTTTGATTTATTGTTAAAACATACTTTAACCTACATTTTGTTAATTTCACCGACGATTTTCTCCACGCTCTACAAATATTGCAAATAAGTTAAATATGTATAATTGTTGAACTGTACGTTTTTGCAATAAGAATAAAATAACAGCTTGAGTAGAATATAACTTCTTTGGATTCAAACTATTCCAACTTCTTCAGTGTCTTGGGGACTTATTCATAAAAGTGTGGTGTGCTGGTAAATGTTTATTGTTGAAAACCATTTGAATATTAAAATATTATTTACTTAAATTCCATTCCCTTAAATATTAGCAAAGGAACAAGCTTTGCTCTTTGGTTCTTCAGGAGTTTAATAAAATTAAAACACTTATTTATGATTTTTAACAGATTTTTTTTATTCACAAACAATAATGCTATCAAGATTTGTCAAAAGATATGTAAAAACCCCAGCCACAGCAAACCTACAGACTAAGTGGATTTAAATTTGCCTGATTGGAATTTCAATCAAATATCACCAATCATTTCATATTTCCCCCATTAAAAAATATTTTAATTTGAACTTAGCGTTGCTGCTACAGGAAAGGTAACAAATGATTTTTAGTAAAATATTTTCATTGGTCTAGTATTAAATAAATACATTTTCAAAATTCGATCAAAATACAGGGTGTCCCGGAACTCGCTACCAATTTTTCAGGGCAGTGTTCCTAGGTAAGAAACGCATCTAAATAGTATATTACAAATGTACGTAAGTCCTTGCTCACGGTTCCACAGACTTGGAAATCTAGCATACCAACATGTTGAAATTATCACCTGCAAACTTAAAAAAATATAGTTTAAGTTGTTATTGTTATGCGGTTGTATAATAATGTGTCAAGGTCAATGTCTGGAATTCGCTGCCTTGTTTGTTTATTGTCATTGTTTTTATTAAGTCTTTTCTGACAAATATATTTATATTTGAGTTTGTTATTGTTATTATATTGTAGTATTTATCAATTGTAATCTAGTCTTGGTAATCGTTATTTTTCTCTCAAATATTTTATGCAATACGCATGATCTAATCTTTGTCAATGCATTTTTGGTATATTCATGTTGATGTAATTTCTCATGTTAGCAATCTTTTTTATTGCCTAGCAAGATGAAACGGTATTAAACGGTATGTCATTTAAATTGGAAATAAAAGAGACATGTTAAACAAAGAAAAGTCCAATCAAGCTAATTAGAGTTTGCCTATTCGGCAAGTTTGCTGCGGCAGGGGTATTAAAGTTTACTTTTTCCTTTATTTATTTTTTTACTGCTTTAGTTATTTATTGTTTTCATCCGTCGGAATTCCTATGTCTGGCGTTTTAACAATATTGCCACATGTTGGTTTCTTCCACTTGAAAAGATGATCGGACTAACGATTTTCGTAAAAGTTGAATGTTTATTTAGCTATCACTCATATTACATTAGGCGTCAAACAGTATCAAACATTTTTACGTACCTACACATCACTGTAATTTACAAATTAGTTATCGTTGGTGTTGTGCCTTATTCATATACCAAATTAGAAATTCTAATATTAAGTGTATTAAATTTTAACCCAAGATCCATAGGAAATTATTATTATTTAAAATTAGTTCGATTGATAAGTTTCGGAAATGTGTAATATATTTTTTACCATTAAAGATAAAGTAATGAGACTTATCAGTGTAATATTATCAATAATATGAGTATATCAATAATAATCCAAATAACTTCTTGATCAGCAACGTACGCGTTATTAAATTACCTAAACGCACAAAAATACGTCAAATAACACTTATATTAATATATTTAAACTTATACTGTTACTAGCAAGACGGTAAATACATATAAAAGATGTGATATAAAAGTGGTGATCGATTTCGATTGGACACTCCGATCATCAATAGGCCTAATAGGCGAATGATCGGTTCAGAAATTATATAATATTATATAAATAAATGTATTGCATTTTGGCTGTTTACTTGTGGTTCGCCATTATACGATATATGGTGTGATTGTATCTTATTAAGTTACTAAGTCAATTATAGATATTTATCTAGCTATTTGAACTTACCAAAATAACAAAAAAGGTCAGTTGTAACAAAGCTAGGTGTAGCCGTGTAAAAGTCATGCTTGCCACGCTCCAACTAAACAGTTTTGTAAAACCATCTGGTCATTAGTACTTGTCATATGAGTGATTTCGATGGATGGTTAAATAAGTTGCGAGGTCAAATTTTGTTGATTTTACCAACAATTTAGTTCACACTCCACTAATAAGCGACACGTGTATAATTTTTAAAACATAGGCTAGTTTGTTTATCATTAATGGTGCAATATGATGAAAAATATAGTTCATCAGACGGTCAAAAAGTGTCTTTTCAACCCTTTCTTATTTGTTTACCTTGGCTTCACCTCTTCGTAAAACCTGAGCTCAGGTCAAAAAGAGTCACTTTAGGTCCTAGTGATAAAATATTCCATTTATTGCAATAATAATAGTCCAAGCCACGCTCATTGAATTCCTAAATGAATATATTAGATATCAGAAGCACGAATTTGCAAACGTTTATTTACAGAAAAAATAGAAAACTAAATAGTAGTTTTTTTAATAAATAGTATTTTTGTAGCCTTGTTATAACTGAGACCAGGGGATGAAATTTAAAAAGCATTAAATATGGAGCGAGTGACAGTGATTTAATTGTCATATTTTAAGCGTAGGTCAGTGTTAATCGGGTGTTATCATGGAATGTTATGGTGATATATCTGAGCTATAATTTCTCGTTATTCCACTTATTAATAAAAATCTTAGATGAATATGAAGCATTAAATATATTGAATCGATGGGCACCCTTCTGCAATTACAAACTATTGGGTACTTCAGTATTAAACGGAGGCCACATTTTGTCAGCGCGCTGCGGCGGTTATGTTAGGTTGGGTTATCGTAAATATTATGTGTGTAGGACTTTCCTCGCTTCGTTATGAATCGAACGATACTTTCTATTATGATAACCCAACCTAACATAACCGCCGCAGCGCGCTGACAAAATGTGGCCTCCGTTTAATACTGAAGTACCAACTATTGTTGTTTTGATTATTTTTCATTAAACCACTATCACTAGTTATTATTCGCAATCCGGAGGCTACTCATACAACAATAAAATTATGTATATGTAAAAACAACAAACATGCCAAACTACCAAAATACAGCCTTAATCTTGTAGTTCTTACTTAAATTCCAGCCTAAAGATTGGTAGTTTTGCGAATTTTGTCAATGCATCCAACCAAAAATTTTGCAACGAACAGTTTTGTGGATACCAATAAATTGTTAAGCCGGTGTCTACGGAATGACGGCCCTCACATGATATGGTGA